AACAGCAGACAGATTAAAATTTCAGAAGTGTTTCAGAAATGCCAAAAGGCCTCATGTAGAACTGTGTTGCTAGAAAACATATTGCAAAGGTTAGTTCATAGTGGTTCATCCTCTTTTGTATCCTTAGACCCACAAAGCAGTCCAATCACATCCATAAACATGTTCAACTAATGCATTCACAGCTGCATTGTACAGTATTGTTGTTTTATGCATTCAGGTAAACGAATAAAAATAATTCCTAAATATTCAGCACCGTCATACATGAACTCCATGTGTAAAATCTGCAGGAGTTACTGAACTCTGGACCTCAATAGAAATAAACTGAAATAATACAAGCAACAATTAACACAGCAAAGACACCTACAATTTCTAGCCTTTTTCATCCTGATATTTCATATCTATGTCTATTAACATTTTTTTAAATGATGCACCAGTCAAAATTACTATACAGATTTTCAGCCAACTCAACATCTTTCTATCTATCCACAAATCAAATACACCCTTTCCAATCACCAGGGTAGTTTTCCACCAAATAATGAAGAATGTTTTCACCTTTCTGACCTTCTCTTAACTTACCAAAAAGATCTAGCCCCAAAGCAGAGCCTACTCCCCACAGTAGAATGCGCAGACAAGCAAAGTGCCTCAGCTCCCTCCACACAGCAAAAAGAAGCATAAGTACCTTCTACAGGTACTTACAAGGAGGATTCAACAATGATCAGATTGTTGGGGGGATTCAACAGTAGCCAGTGAATGTACCAGAGCTGGGAGTTGCCTAAAGTCATCAGGCTGAGCTGGAAATCCCTGATCTAACTAACAGGATTTGCTGAGTACAAGATGGGTCTTAGATTCTACACCTTTCTGTGAGACTTACTCTATCAAAGAAGGAGGAATTTCCTTCTACTCTAGTAGTTTGAGCTGACCTGGTCAAATGACAGCCACTGCAGCCCTGGAAGTTATCCACTCTTCCTCCCTTTTCCTCCACCACTCTAGCTACGCATTCCCATTGCTTCCCTTTAATGCGGAACTAGTGGTTAGATGATACTTTGGAGACTAGATTCCGCCCGCTAAATTCACTCTGGAAAAATGTAAATACTTTCCCACTAGCTGAGTTGGCCGGGCTGGCTCAGAAAGAGATTGGCTGAGCACTGAATCAAGGCAAGGACAAGAGGAAATGGAGGACAAGCAGGAAGAATAATTTTAATTACCTCCTCAAATCAGTCAGATATAAATCTTTTATCTCTAAGGAATGATTCTAACAACCACCAGCTACACTGGTTAGAAGGAAGTTGGTGTTAGTACCAACACGTGCAGATTCTACCATGGGTCAGTCATTATTCCTGTGAAGAGAGGCTGTGAAAACAGTTTTGTCAAATCTTCCTTAGCAGTCAAGATATTCTCAACACCAGGCAACTCTGAAATGGAAATTGTAGCTTTGATTTAAATGATAGCTTTGCAAAATGACATGCCACACAATAGAATCCTTACTTCCTCCCCTTTATGTGGATATTAAGTCTGCCATCTTCAAGGAATTCTCTTGACAGCAAAGAATGGATAACAATTAAAACTAAAGGTCCTTTATCTGTCAGCAGTCAAAAAAGGCAATTATGAGGAGAAAATATTCAAAACATAAAAATATTGACAAGTCTAGGCTGGAAGGGCAGATTATCTGGTCCAACCCCTTATTCAAAGCTGATCCTTAGACTCAGCTGTGTCTTGAATATTTCCAGCCAAGAGGATTCCTCCAATTCTGTGGGCAAGTAATTGCATTTTGCTCTTTTCACATTAAAGACATTTTTTTCTTATATCCACAGGCAATTACCCTTTTTCCTATTGCCTCTTGTCCTGTCACCATGTACCCTCATGAAGACTACCTCCCTCCTCTGACTACCTATTACTCTTTAGTAACTACTATAACTACTTACTACTCCGTAACCACCTACTACTATTGGAAAACTGCAAGTAGACACTCACCATCTGCCCAAGCCTTGTCTCCTCTAGGCTGTAGAAATCCAGCCTCTTAAGTTGTCAAAACTCACCAACCCTCAAAGCATCTTTGTGGCAATTCACCAGACCATATCCAGTTTTTCAGACCATACCCAAACTGGGGGAACCAGAACTTTACACAGTATCACAGGTGTGTCCTAACAAGTGCTGCATAGAACAATCCCCCCCATTGATCTGTTGACTACACTCTTACTGGTGCAGCCCAGGACACAGTTTGCCTTTATTGCTTCAAGGACACACTGCTGACTCCTGTTGAGCTTCCTGTTCATCATGTCCACCAAGGCTATTTCAGCAGAGCTGCAACCCAGTCAGTCAGACCCCAGCCTGTACTGCTGCTTAGGGTTAGTCCATCCCTGCATGACTTTGTATTTATCTTTGTTAAACCTCACGGAATTCTTGTTGGCCCAATGTTCCAAACTAAATACTATTAATAAACATTTAGCAGTAGAGCATCTTCCTATTCCAGACACACATGAGCTGCAGCCAGCTCCTGGATGTAATTCATGCCATAGTGTTTGAGAATTTCCAACGTGATAAGCACTGATGAGTTATTATAGGCAGTTTAGAGAAATCTCTGCATCAGTAGCCCTTGTCCTTATGGAATATTTCAACTTCCCAGATATCAACTTGGAATAACAAATTGCTGAGATGAGAAGATCTAGGAAATTCCTGAAGTTTGTAGGAAATAACTTCTTGTCACAGATACTCAGTGAGACACCTAGGAAGGATGCCCTCCTAGACTTGCTATTTTTGAATAAAGACTTATGGGAGATGTGATGGTAGGAGGCTGTCTTGGCCACAGTGATCATGAAATGATTGAGTTTAAAATTTTCAGTGATATTTGTTGAAGATGGTCACCTGACTAGTAGGCATGAAGAAAAAGCAGGGGCATTCAAGGTGATTTTTGCCACGTCTTTAATAATAATGGTGGACTTTAGGCTGCCCAGTCCCCTGAGTTGGAGGACCATGAGTGTGGGAACAGTAACTTTCAATTTGTGAACACTGAAATTTTAAGGGACCAGCGGTATCACTGAATGTTCACAAGCCAATGGGGCTTGGTGGGTTTCACCCCAGAGATATGAAGGAGCTAGGGGATGTTGTGGCAGAACCTCTCTTGATCATCTACCAAAGGTCTTGGGAGTCTGGGTAGGTCCCTTCTGACTGGAAGCTAGCCAGTGTTATTCCAATCTTCAAGAAAGGTGTGAGGGAAGACTGGGGGAACTACAGACATGTTAATCTAACCTCAATACCTAGAAAAATTATGGAGCAGATCATACTGGATACTATTGAAGGGCACTTCAAGACCAATGCAATCATCTGTCACAGTCAACATGGTTTCACAAAGGGAAGAAAGTCCTGTTTAGTCAATTTGATATCCTTTTGCTATAACGTCATCTGCCTAGTGGATGAAGGGAAGGCAGTGGATGTAGATTTTCTGAATTTTAGTAAGTTTATTAATACTGTCACTTCTGGACACATCCTTCTGGATGGAAGTTTTCCAGCTGTGGGATGAGTGGTTTCATTGTGCACTGGGTGAAGAACCCTCAAAAGCGTGTAGTGAACGGGGCTACATCTGGTTGGTGACTGGTCACCAGAGGTGTTCCTTAGGGCTCAATTCTAGGGCCACTTCTGTGCAATAGGACAGGACTATTTTGCAGGTAATATACAACTGCTGAGATGACCAGATCTAGAGGACAAGAGCAGGTCTGAGGGACCTAGCCAGAGGGATCTAGCCAGATTGAAGCATTAGGCAATCATTCATGGTGTGAAATTTAACAAGTCAAATGCCAGATTCTGCATCTGAGATGGAGTAACACCAGGCACAAGTATAAACTGGGAGAGGAGTGGCTGGGGAGCGTCCTGCAGAGTGAGCCCTGGGGGTGCTGGTGGGCGGCATCTCAGTGTGAGTCAGCAGTGTGTGCTTGGGCAGCCCCGAGGGCAAACCATGTCCTGGGGAGCATCAAACATGGCATCATCAGCCGCACAGAGGGAGGGGATTGTCCCACTGAGCTCAGCATTGGTGTGCCTCACATGGACTCCAGGGTGCAGTTCTGAGCCCCACCATTTCAGAGGGGTGTGAAGGTCCTTGAATGTGCCCAGAGGAGCGCAACAAAGCTGGTGGAAGGGTTGGAAGGCATGTGTTGTGAGGAGCAGCTGAGGACTTTGGGCTTGTCTGGTTTGGAGAAAGGGAGGCTGAAGGGAAACCCCCTTGCTCTCTGCAGCTTCCCTAGGAGGGTGAGAGTAGAGCGAGGTGCTGATCTCATCTTCCTGGAATCCAGTGGATGGGCACGTGGGAATGGCTCAAAGCTGCGTCAAGGGACATTAGGAAACATTTCTTTACTGAGAGAGTGGCCAGACACTGGAGCAGGCTTCCTATAGAGGGGGTCAATCAGTGCCCCAAGCCTGTCAGTGTTTAAGAGGCATTTGGACAATACCCTTAATAACTGGTTTTAACTTTTGGTCAGCCCTGAGGCAGTCAGGGAGTTGGGCTAGGTGATTGCTGTAGGTCACTTCCAACTGAAATTATTCTATTCTATTCTATTCTGTTCTATTCTATTCTATTCTAATTTTCAGACACAAACTAAAGGTTCAGATAACAGAAGTAATTCAGTACCTGTTCTCTTGCTTATCTTTCCCAGATACATTAGGGAGTAAAAAGGTTTTTAACTCAGCCCTCTGTGATATAATAACCCATTGCCCCCCTTTTTTTCCCCCTTTTGTTTGTAAAATCAAAGAGGACATAAAAAAACATTTGACAAAAAGCACTTGATCAGGATAGAAAAATGTATAGTTTTACATTTTACAGAACTTGTAAATAGTTTTATGTGTGGGCCATGTGATGTGGGCTGGGCAGGCAGTTGTTCCTGCTTTGTGAGGCAGAGTTCAAGATTCCTTTGCTACACAGGAAAAAAAAAAAAAACACCAGAATTTTCAGGGCAGTTTCTCCCATTAAAGTAAAGCAGACCAAACAGATACGACACAGGTGAGCACTCCCCCACTGCTCACTCCGCCTTCTTTCCTAATGAGTTTCCTGCTTTTGTGGGACAGACAGAGAAGAGCTGCAAAAGAGTAGGAGGTATGTGATCGTCTAGAAATTGCTTTGGATTCAGAACCTGGAAAAAGGAGATTCTACTTTCCCATGCAAAACTCATACAATGGGATCTTCTCGTTGTTTGGTACCTTCCCATGTTTAGTAGTTTCCAACTTTTATTTTCAAAAGAAATCTTCATTGTTTCCCTACAAGAAAACTCGAAAGGAGGAAGGGAGAGTTCTAACTGCTGTCCTATTCTTGGGTCAGAACAGGAAGCAGCAGTGCACATTTTTCCTTGTGATGAAGAGAGAAGTTAAACCATGACTGCTCCTACCCACCGAGACCTCTTTCTGGTAAGTATATGCTGAAAAAGAATGTGTTTCTTCTGAATATATACATTTAACTATTTTTGCTGTAACAAGGGGACATATTTAGTGTGCAAAAGTGTACATGTTACACAATGTAACATGGAACTATATAAAACTGTATATTTGTTTGGAGATGCGTATTCATAAAAAACATGCCCCTTGTGTCATGCTTTTTTCCTTCAAAGGGGTCTTCATCAAAACAGGGGGGTACATGTAGGTTAGCAGAACACATGTAAGACAATTATGGTATTCTTGAATACCACAGGTCCCTAGTATTCATTCTATATTGACTGCTGTCTCTTTCACTGAGATGGGGTCTGGAATGCAGGACAGAAAGGGCTCTTGTTTTTTAGAATGGTGCAAAAATAAGCACATCAACAGAGAAAGAACTGAGGATACAGGCAAATATTCAAACTATGCCTACACTTTGCAAAAACACACGTACCCTAGCTATATCCAGAACCTAAAGTAACATTATTGCTATAATGCTACAATGAAGTTAGATTCTCAATTTAGTGGGGCAGATGGGCCCATTAAATAAGGCTGCTTTTCTTCTGGGATCTGAATGAATATTTGAATGTTCATTATGCAACATACAAATGTCCCAGAATTAACCCTTAAAGTTATTCTGTGTTTCACTTTCATAGTAACCTCAAATCTGCATCCCAGACTGCTCTATTAAGCCAGATCTTTTTAGATATGCCTGGCAATAAGTGCTTAGGGTCTATTTATGCATTTCATGTCTTCCAACTGTGTGTCCGAGTGTTCCTATTATTCAATATGCATTCACACAGGAAATTCTAGCACATTTACATTGGTGTGCATTTATGCGGATTTCGCAGACTTATTATGTATGTGCATAGTTCATGTTCTCATGATGTCCTTTGCTCTAGTATGTATGTTCTTACTTTGGTCATGATACTTATAATGTGTTTATATTCTCATGTTTCATGTTGAAAAAACTGTTCCATCTTCCACAGATGTCTGTCCCTTTAACTGCTCATCTGTTCTCAACTACCTGCTACCACCATCTATACTACCATGTGGTTAGAGACACGCTGGAAGAACATCCGCCAAACCTTGCTGCTTCTTTTCACTGCTGCTCTTCTCATTGGTGTCACCATGCTGGCCATTTCATCTAATATCAACCCAGTAGGCTATTTCTTTCTAGGGGTAGGGGGAGTGTGCCTGGTCGGCTATTTGCTGAGTGTGTTTGTTGAGTGTTACCTGAGGAATCAACACCGACATGACGCAAATGAAATACCTCCAAACAGTCAAAGCCAAGCAGGGTAAGCAGCAACCTGGTTATTGCTTTTTAACCCTCTCACCTCAGTCATGGGCATTTTACACACTGTTTTGCTGCCCTTCCCCTGGGGCAACAAACACAGACTCCATTCCCAAAGACAAAAGTTGTTTTCAGGTTGTTTTCCTTCATTCTTCAGGTGGAGGTTGCAAATATCTATGCCACACATCTCCTGTATCTTGTTCAATATGTATTTTCTTCCCCCCGGAAACTGATTCACTAAAAATTTCCAAGGTTGAACAGATCCAGGCCCAGTTTTATTTTACTTTGAGTAATCGAGGCTTGCCAAACAATGACTCAGACAAGGAAAAAGAAAAAATGCTGAAGCAATACTGAATCTTATTTGGGTTTAGTTCTATAAAACTTATCTCTGGAGCTACTGTTCCTTGGCAAACTTTTTAAAAGAAACCTGTATCTGGATCTGTTTCCAGTCTTAAAATCCCAATTTGACAATAATAAATCCTGATTTTGAGAGGCTTTGAATACTTCTTTTTGGCTTCATGTACATTTGCAGGTTCTCAGTATCACCTAATTTAACCCTTGTTTGCCTACTATAGTTGACTAGTTTGACTTTATTTGTATCTTTGCTTCCTTGTATAATCCAGGTAATCAGTTTCCACACCCGTAAATGACTTAACAGTCTCAAATACAGGACCTGTGGGAGGAGAAAAAATGTTACTATGTGTTTATTTTTAGAAAGACTACAAAAAAAAAAGTCTATATTGGGCTCTGCTAGCTTGGGGGCATACTAGAAGAAAATTAGTATCTTTTATTTGAAAATATGACCTGAAAAGAAAAATGTTCCTAAAGTAGCATTTTTTCTTTGCAGATAATTCTTCTCAACACAGAACAACTAGTCCTTGTTTAAATGAAATGAAAATACTAATTTTCTTCAGTTCTTAAAAATAGATGAACATTGATCTAATGTATTAAAAAAGCAAGGTCCTGTTTTATTCCAAGAAATAATCAATAGTTAACAATTTGTCATAATAAATTTTAACTCGTAGGAGATTTTAACTGAGGGACATCAAGCTAAGCCTAGTACACAGAACTGAACAGTGGGGGTGACTTCACTTACTCTGGGGAGTGTGGGAAAATGGTCAGATGAGCCATTCTCTGTACCAGTAAGCAAGACATTAAGTTGGCTGGACAAGTGAACTGATCCAGGGGCAGAATACATACAGCAATACCACGTGAGATACCCTGTCTCAGTCTCATCTATTTGTTGATTGTAGCATGGTCCCCATAGTACATAATCTGTGCTATCTGCCTCTGCATAAACTGAGCAGTAAAATAACCGATGTAACTGGCCTTCCTCTCTTGCACAAGGGTGAATGCTGCCTATGAAGCGCCCACCTATGAGGAGGTGATGACCATGTCATCTCCAGCAATATGGACAATTACATCCAACCCAGGCCCAGTGCCCTCGCCATTGAGCGAGCCTCCTCCTTACAGCGTCGTTATCGAATCCTCTGGTCAACAAGAGATTATGGTCGAGGCTCTCCGGGTGTCAGTGCCACCAGACACGAGGCCCACCTCTGAGACAGACACAGGCTCCAGGATACAGCTGCAGCTGGTGTTGCCCCCAAGACCACAGCGGTTTGTTTCAGACATCCATGAGGAGAGAGATATTGAAGACAGGTTTGAACCACTAGAACCACTCACTCCACCACCTGCTTATGAGAGTGCCATCAGTGATGAGGTCTTTGAAGATGTTTGCCATCCCTCTGCATTATGATTACTTTCACCTTCCATGAATACAGAACCAAACCCTTACCCTAATACAGAATGCTCTTAGAAAGAAGGTGAAAGGGCTGAGATTTTTCATGCCTGAAACTGTAAAAGTTTGTCTCACCATTCTTTGAAACAGAGCTGAACTACAAACACAGCTTCTGATGTCACTAGAATCTTTTTGCACAAAATAAAAATCGATGCAATACCACAGTGCTTTGACTTCGCAGATACATAAAACCACCGTGAGGAAAGTTGTGTTATATACGGCAACATTCTCAAACTGAAGATACACCTTTATGGGGGAAAAGAGCAAATCATGAGAACAGACAAGGTTATCAAAGAACCTCTGAAGAAGGACTGTAAGATGCAGCCAAAAGAATCTGCCTGGGAAAAGGGAGGAATAGAAACAGCACTAAGCACGTTCTGCCTGTGCATTACAAACAGCAACATTGCTGAGAGCTGTGCAGTCATCAGCCACCCGGAAATCCTTACAGAGAGACCAAGCCTGCACTTCCTGGAGTTGCTGTTTTGCGGCAACAAAAATTTATGGTTTGTGCTGTTTGTCGCTGCCCCTCTGCCACACCTGTGCCACATCCTCAGCTGTGCTGCACTGGAGCATGACTGAGGGGAGGGTGGCTGTCTGCATCTGGAAGCTGGTACCACCCAATATGTGTCACTTAAGGTAAAAAAACTGATGGCAAGCATGGCATCATGAAATTACTTCTGTTCTTCACAAGGTTCTCATCCCACACAGCTGGTAGTGTGCAAGAGGGGGATAAGTTTTCCTCCTGTAAGAGAGGCTGGCAGTGGGATATACACATATATAAGCATCCTCTGCCTAGATCAGTAGTCTTGGTGGCTCTAGTGCAGGGTGTGTGTCTCTGCTGTAATACAGCCCCTAACAGATGGCTTGAGATACTTTATTGTCATCATGGCAAGGACTTGCACGGAAATCTCTGTAACCACGCTGTACTCAGAGGCTTCTCTCTGGACTCTGGAAAGGTCCAGTCTGTCTGCCGAGGCCAGAGCTGCAGTGGAGAGCACCTGAGAATAATAGTCCCAAGGCACAAGTGTTCTTCATCATGATGGCTCTAGGCTGGAGCCAGGTTTTAGCTCTCACTGATCAGTGGTGATGTGCAGTCTCTTAAAATGGGTGAGTTAAACTGAGAGCCTCTGCAGTGTCAAAGTGGTCTACATTCATAGACCATGCAAGGAGACATTCACGTCTGGTGAATGTCCAAATTAAAAAATAAAAATAAAAATGGTGGTCCGAATCGCCTCATGAAGGAGAGCAGCAATCATCACAGCCTTGCTCGTATGACTGCATCATCTTGAATTCCTATGAGGAACCATCAAACCACAGCTAGAAGCAAACAAACTATTTCTTATAGTTTGATTCTTTATAGTTCAAAGAAAAAAAAGGACTCTCTATGTTGTTTGTAAATAAACAGGACTGCATTAAAAATTCCTGGTGGCATCATTTATATTTCCTCCCAAAACAACCACTCCACAAAGCCATGCTTTTGGCTCACATTCTGCTTATCTGATAATCTTGGCTTAGAAAAAGGAGAGGTGTTCCATTTCTGAATGTACAGCTACATCACTTTAATATCATTAGTGATGAAGGAGGTATGATACCTCTATCATAGAAGTATTGTGAGAGACAAATTTGCTGACAGAGGCAATGTGATTTCTTTAAAGCCAATCACTACTTGCATTTCCCTCCTCTAACTGCAAACAGAACAGAAAAAACCTCACTAAAAAGTGATATGGGTAGACAACATAGGCATAGAAACTTTGAGTCTTAAACTGGGCAACTCTGTGTGTACCAAACTGCCAGGAGTGAGGAAGAAATTCATGTAACCACCACAGATTAAAAGCTGGCCAAAACAAAGACCAAAAATGCCATCAGTTATGACCACTTGGATTTTGTCTTCAGCTTCTGTAAGGGTTTTCAAGCCTTTGGACTTGTGTTAAGCTTTAGCATGTGGAACTCCTGCACACCAAGGAGCAACCATCTGAAGCTTTACATGATGTTTTTGTAAGTCCTATGAGGAACAGCTGTGGGAGCTGGGGTTGTTTAGCCTGGAGAAAAGGAGTTTCAGGGGTCACCTTATCACTCTCTACAACTACCTGAAAGGAGGTTGTAGCCAGGTGTGTGTGGGGGTGACCTATTATCCCAGGCAACTAGCGACGGGACGAGAGAACATAGTCTTAAGCTGTGCCAGAGGAGGTTCAAGTTAGCCATCAGGAGTTTCTTCACAGAAAGGTTGTCAAGCATTGGAACTGGCTCTCCAGGAAGGTGCTGGAGTCACTGTCCCTGGAGGTGGATGTGGCACTCAGTGCTATAGTCTAGTTTGGCAAGGTGGTGTTTAAAGGTTGGACTCAATGATGTCAGAGAGCTTTTCCAATCATAATGACCCTGTGATAATATGACAAGTGCTGCGAATTTGCTTATGCTAGAAGGATGGTCACTTTGATCTTCCGTTCGTATTTCACATGTTCTCTGCAAACCCTGTGTGCTCCCTGTCTCCCTCTGAACTACTGCGCGTTATCTTTTCTGATTTCAGCTGATTTCCGCTGAAACGCACGTGTGACAAAACACAGGAAACAAAACCTCTAAAATTAAAAAAAAAAATAAATTTCCAAGAACCAGTATGTTCGCAAGGAAAGCTGTACTTGTTAACACTCTCTGCAGACAGGACCATGCCACGCCTCTGCTGTGCCGCACTACAACCCCCCGCCATGATTCCACCCCTCCATCCCCCGCCCCTGAGAGGCCGCGCCCCAGCCCGCGCGCGGGCAGGAGGCGGCGGGAAACCGCTCCCGCTCCGTGGGAGGTCACGTGACGGCGGGAAAGCGGGTCTCGCGCTTTGAATCGCGGGTGCCGCCGGGAAAAGGCGGGCGGGAAGGGCCTTTTCCGTCTGTTGTGAGCGGGAGGCTGCCGCCCGTGCTAGCCCTCCTGAGCGAAAAGTCGGGAGGAGTGCGGGTGGGTCTTTGCCGCTGAGTGTGCCCGGGTCTCCCCTCTTCTCCCAGGATGCTGGTGGCGTGCGGAATGCAGCGGTGTCACCAGGAAGCGCTCAAGAAGAACCGGGTGATCCTGGCGAAGCAGCTTGTGTTGCATGTACTGGTGGAGCACATGGTAGAGAAAGACATCATCACCCCGGAGATGGTGGAAATGATACAGGTACGCGGGGTGGGCTCGCCTGCGCCGTGGCCATTATTTCTGGCTAAGCTCGATGTCGTTCTTAGGAGTGGCAGCATGAAAGAAACCTCGCCTGTGTGTTACCTGCACATTTTAACGTGATTGCATTTAGGGAAAGAGCAAAGCCGTGTGGGGTTTGATTGTAGCGTGCAGAAGAACTGTGAGGTGCTTTTGGCAGTGTGTATTTTGTCAAAAGTTCACTGTTCGGGTGCTGATGTGCAGTTGCAGCAGGCTGCACTTTGTGGATCGGAGTCCTTTGTTGTCTTTTTCAGCCTTTTTTTTCTCCACTCGTAGAAGCAGAAATAGTACACGTTTCCAAAAGAACACCGTGAAAGCAAGTAAATGAATACGTTGTCAACCAGCTTGTTGTGGCACGTTTCACACAAAGAATTTGTGCTGTATATGTGTTTTTGTAAACTGCGTTAAGAACCTTGCAGGATTCAAGGCCCACTCTCAGCTGACAAATGGGCCTGTGTTTGTAGGCCTGTGTTACTTACCCTGTGCAGAGGGTACTATGGAGAGAAGTCATTGGAAATAGCTTGGGATTTCTTCCAGAGGGAGGGATGGTAGTGCACTGAACACCATGCAGGATGGAGATACAGGTCTTCAAAGAAAGCAGACTGGAAAGGAAATGACTGAAGTTGCACGGCAAGGGCATCTCAGGACTCAAGTAAGCAACTGAGAGAGTTTTTAGTTCCCTATAAAGTTGATGGTCCTGTAATAAGAACAGGTTATGAACTATTTTCAGGGCATCACTGCTTACAGTGTAAACCTGAGACTGATAAGATTCTTGATAGCAATGACGAAATAACTTCCAGATTAATTTTGAGTCATTGTCAAAGATAACATGAATCACTTTGCATACTTTGGCTCAGTGTCAAAGATAATGACAGGTTCCTCATGGGACCTGCCAAGTTGTGGGAGATGCGGGCAGTCTTACCTGAAATAGTTCAAGTCCCTTCTTGTACTGGTTTTGTCTGGAATCATTTCTTCATAGTACCTGGTGCGGGGCTGTGTTTGGATTTATGCTGGAAACAGTGTTGATAATATAGAGGTGTTTTAGGCATTGCTGAGCAGCGCTTACACAGAGCCAAGGACTTTTCTTCTCGCCCCACCTCAGCAATCATGCGGGGGGTAGGGGGGTGAGGCACATATCTGAGACAGCTGACCTCTACTGACCCAAGGGATATTCCACAATATTTGGTGTCATGGTCAGCGTATAAAGCTGGGGGAAGACGAAGGAAGAGGTGAACTCTGAGAGTGACAGTGTTTGTCTTCCCAAGTCACCTTTTCACGGGATGGAGTCCTGCTGTTCTGGGGGTGGCTGAACACCTGCCTGCTGACAGGAAGCAGTGAATTAATTCTTTGTTTTGCTTTGCGTGTGTGGCTTTTGCTTTACCTATTAAACCATCTTTATCTCAAGTTCTCTCGCTTGTTCAGTTTTGATTCTGCCCACTGTCCTGCTGGGGAGGGAGTAACTGAGCGTCTGTGTGGTGCTTAGCAGCCCATGGGTCTTGAACAGCAACATTGCTGAAGTATGGATGATTAGTAGGGATGTTCATTTGATGGCCTGCAGTTTGTCACTGAAGGGAGAGTGAGGTGAGGGGAAGGAAAAGGGTAAAAAAAAAAAGCCCTCTCAAAGTTAGAGTAATGCCAGAGATAATACTCCTTTTGGCAAGGTGCTGCTATAGTTGAGACATATTAAACTGAGAGGTGAAGAAGACTAAAGGAATCTTCCCCTCCAGGTGTATTTGAGTAAAAGGAGATGCTACAATACTCAGTAATGGATTATCAGTAAGGAGAAAGGTGTTATGATGGATAAGTGAGGTAAAGAGTAATAGCTTAGTGAAAAAATTCTGCCTAATACAATATACACACATAACTAGGAGTTTAAATGTATGTAAACAGCAATAGCAGCCTGAGCAAGAGAGCGAAGGGACTTGAACTACTGTTGCAGGGTATGGATCTGGAAATTGCAACAAAAATGGAAATATGGCAGAGGTGGGCAGAAAGCATTCACAACTGGAACAGTAGTACTGCAAAATATGCATTGTACTAGAAGGATAGAAATGAAGGGAACATTTACAGGATAGTACTAGTCATAACAGTACCAGAGAGAAAAAGTAAGATGCCTGAAAAAAAAAATCACTTGAATGGAAAACACTTTGTCTTCCCTTTCATTTTTCTGTTGTAGGTCTGTGAATTTTTAATATTCTTCCAGTCTCTGGCTCAAGTGTGAGCAAAGGTCTTAGAAGTACTGCTAGGTAGCCTGTTCTTGAAAATGCATTCTGATGCCAGTCATCAGGTACTTTAGTGGAAACAGGAGGAGCCAATTGTCACTGTGTCTGATAAAAAAGCGTAGATTTTTCTGGATATTATAACTAATTGGTTCTATATATATATATCTCCCCCTGCTCCTCCAGTAAGTCAGGAAATCAAGATCAGGATAAATAGTTACATTCTAAATCATACTGTCTTAAAAGCACAACAGTGACATTGGTCCTGTGAACTTGATTTAAGATGAACAAAAGAAGATGATGATTCTGGAAATAGAGCACTTAAATAATCTTTTGTAGTCTAAGGAAAGTCAAATAAACCAAGTAGCTCAGGGAGATGAAGTAAGGATGAAGTTTTTTCAAGTGTGAAGTGTGAAACCAGTACTGAAACTTTACCACAAGTAAGAAAAAGGGGGGAGGGGAGGGGAGGGTGTTGCCGGAAGAGCCACAGAAGACAAAGGTGATTGAGTTGGATGAAGAGCTCATAAGGAATATGAAAAGTAAAGAGTTTAAGGTGTACATTGGAGAAGAATTAATAAACAGAAGCAGCTTCCTTTGATGTCTGAAATGTGGGGAGATAATAGGATCTGACAGGAATGAATTTAAATTGGGTCATTCACAAAGATATTAAACAGTGTGAGTTTTTTTCCACTATATACACTTTGAATAAAGAGTAAAGAAAAAAAATTGTGTTTTCTTTGTAGTGAAGATGATGTAAATAAAATTATCTAGGTGAAGACCCAGAAGAGGGGAATTTTGAACACAGAGCAAAAACAAGGTGAAAATAAAGTGGGATAGTGGAAACAGCTGTTTTTAAGGCAAAGTCCAAAATCCACTTTTTAAATGCCTTCTTCTCAGAGCATGAGATGTTCTTCCAGAGCTCTAGGATGGACCTTCAAAATGGCAGATAAGATAGCAAGAGCTTTGCTCTTTAAACAGTTGGAACACTCTATACTGTAAGCAAAGATTGAGACCATGTAGATTTGGAAATTTAAATACTCTGTGTTGATCGCTAGACAGTAATGAGAAGGGATCGCTGGTTTTGACAAAGTGATAATAAATTTGTTTAGAATGTTTGTAAAATATGTATGATCTTTTCACAGATTTTGTGTTTATATTCTGGCTCAATAAGACTAATATTATGGAATGTTGACAGAAATTCAGAATTTGTTTTACAACCAGTTCCTGTTATGCAGATTATCAAACCCATCTGTGAGGGTACATAAATAAATTAAGGATGTATTGGAAAATAAAATGAAAGAAGTGTGTCTTAGGGAAGTTTTACTTCTGAATGTTTGCTGAACATTATTTAGTGTAGTCTAAATGTGGTGTTGATGTGGAAGTTAAAGAGGTACAGCCTTTTGGGTGTTTAATGAAACATTAGGGAAGAAGTCTTCCAAAAGCTGACTGGTATATATACAAATATGATGCATACATACATATGCAGAATATGAATGTTATGGAAATTTCTTAACTTTTTAATAAAACTTAAAATCCAGTTCTTAAGGTCAGCCTGTGTTCTTAACTATGATTTATGACTTAAGAGTCACAGACTACGGAAACATTAAGTGAAGAAGATGAGTGATCCTCAGTTCGTCTCAAACAGCTGCAGGCCTACCAGAGAGAAATAAACAATTCATATATACTTTGGAAATAAGCTCTCAATTTACTTTATTAGTTAAAATAAAACTCAATGAGTTTACAGGAAGATATAAGTGTACGGAGCTGGTTATTTTCTGTGGACTAATGGAGAAGTGTTACTGGGAGAAAGGGGAAAGTGCCTTCATACCTCTGGAAAGGCACAAGTGTATGCACCTCTAGTCAACAGTGCTCTGAAAGTTGAGGATTCTATTGGAATAGGGAAAGGTACTGGCAAGGGGACAAGGCCATTTATGAGGAGCCTGAAAGAAAGTGACTTGTTTACTGTAGCAAATCAAGACCACTTTATAGAAAGAAGTTTGATAAATAAGGGAAAGGACAGGAGAATACTGAAGTCACCGTTGATACAAAAATAAATGCTGTTAGTCATGAATGAATCTAGCTCTGAAATTCTCAATAGGTTTATGAACATTGGATCAACAAGATTTTGCAGTATACTAAACTATTTTTTAAATTTTATGAAAGAAACCAGGTGATGTGATGTCTTCTGTAGCAGAAGATATGTGCCTCAAGGCACTGTTTTCCTGTGATTGCTGTCTTGTTAAGCCTTAATTCTCACCAGCTGTTTTCAATCATCCACCAAAAGGAGACATCTCAGATCTAAGTGATAATTAAAAAAAAAAACCACAAAACTTATTTATGATATCCAGTATTTTAGTATGTGATTTTTGGTGTCTTTTAGATTTCACGAGGAAGGTTATTATTGTATAAATTATACATTTTGTTGGCAAATACCCTGTTAGTGTTCTAACAAATAGAACTTCTTGACAATGTTTAACAAATACATTAAATTTCATTTTTGATGGTTACTTTTTCACTTAGACTAGAATATATTGCCTCATTGGTCTAAATGTTACAGTCTGTACCTACCAAGTACCATTGTGGAATTGACTGTATATAGTAAGTATTTTACTTAATGTTTTCTGGAGGATTTGAGTATATGCATGCGACCATAAACCATTGGATAGTAGTGGAATCGTGTTTTGGACTCTTTGTATATTCAATGAGGAAAAATAGATACTATTCCAACGGTAACTGGAAGTAAAAGTTTGGAGAGAATATGGTGTATTACTGTGCATGGTAATGTATGAATTGTTGGCTTGTTGTATTGTTATATGCTCTCATCCTTGAGCAAATAGGAACAGAGGAGTGTGAACAAAATCAGCTAGGAAGTGTATAATAATGGATCTAGCATAGATAAGCATAGTGGTGAAATGTATATCTGAAATTTAAAAAGCAGTTGTTCTGATAATTCATTGAAAATTAATTGTGTTGCATATTACTTAGAACGTGGATTTTGTTTTCTTTTCCTCTGGGTCTAGGCGAAGTCTGGGAGCTTTGACCGAAATGTGGAATTCCTCAATTTGCTGCCCAAGAGAGGCCCTAATGCCTTCTCAGCCTTCTGTGAAGCTTTACGAGAAACCCAACAGCAGCATCTGGAGGCAAGGATCTTGAAGACAGTGTCCGACCTGAGCCATGAGATTGCAAGGGTATAACAGTTTTTAAAAAATAAGACGGGTGGACTGCATTTCAGATTGGGTTGGGGACAAAGGACTCTGTCAAATGGGGAAAAAAACCAATTGTTTACGAAAAACAGGATGGGATTTTGTTGCAAGTTGAAGCTTGTAGAAGCCTTAGTAAAAACAGAGAGGAGGGAATTTGGGAAGAAGAGAATTTTCATGCTACCACCAATCACAAGTGGAAGAGACCTCTGGAGGTCACCTGGCCTGACTCCCCTGCTCAAGCAGCATCACCTTCAGCAGGTTTTCCAGGGTCACGTCTGGCTGGTTTTTGAATATCCCTAAGGATGGAGATTCCGCAACCCCTCTGTGCAACCTCCTCCAGTGCTCAGGCATCCTCAGAGTAGAAAAGTGTTTGCTGATGTTCAGATGGAGCCTCCTGGGTTTCAGTTTGTGCCCATGGCCTATAGTTTTGACATTGGGCACCACTGAAAAGAGCCTGGTTTTGTCCTCTTTACAGCCTCCCTTCAGGTATTCATATGCATTGATAAGTTCCCTCTGAGCCTTTTTTTCTTAAAGCTGAGCAGTCCCAGCTCCCTCAGCCTCTCCCCATATGTGAGTTGCTCCAGTCTCTTCAAGTTTGTGGCCTGTTGTTGGCCTCTCTCCAGTATGTCCATGTCTCTTGTATAGAGGAACCAGAACTGGACACAGCACTCCAGATTCAGGCTTGCCAGGGCTGAGCAGAGGGGAAGGATCACCTCCCTTCGTCTGTGCTGCTGGCAACATTCCTCCTAATGCAGCCCAGGGTACTATTTGTCTTTGTGCCAAGCGTACATTGCTGGTCCCTGTTTGACATGTCCTTTACTGCCAAGCTGCTTCCCAGTTGGATGGTCCCCAACATATATTGATGCACGGGATGGCTCCTCCCCAGGTGCAGGGCTTTGAACATCTTTTTCTGAACTGTACAGTGTTCCTGGGTGTTCTTGCATCCAGCATGTTGTTAATGGATGTCATCATTAATCCAAAAGCTGCAAAGAAAATATTTTCTCCAAATTTTTTTGTTTTAACATTCAGTGGTTCTCTGAGTAGGAAGCTACTGAAAGCTGGTCTTGTCTGTTGAGGAAAGAGATACTTATATTTCTTTCTTTTGGTGTTTTTATTTTCACTTTTTCACTATCTGTAGATGTTAGCATTGAACTAAAGGAAGAATTTTGCAGATTCCATATTCTTAGTGCATTGGCAAGGATGGAAACTCTCATTAAGCATATATTCTACAAAGGAATGGAGACAAGACACTTTTGAACAGAGATGTTCCCTTATTAAAACATAGGATTTATTAGATTACGCTCTTCTGGGGTTTTTTTTTGTTTTCAATTGTGCTTTACTATTCAAACAATGAAATCTTGACAGCAGACAAAAATATAGGAATCACTGGACAAATTTCTGGCCAAAACAAGGAGGATATGGTGACTTCAGTGTAAGGTTTCCAGACTGAGAATTTGGGTAGAAGTAGAGATGAGCAAAGAAAGGAAGGAGTTTTATCTTGAGAGAAAATGCTGGTGCCTTGTCATGATATTTTGTTTGGATGTGAACCGTAATATTATTTTCAAGTCATTTTTATGTGTAGGTAAATGCATGTATCTTTTTTCCATGATAACTTAAGGCTTGTACCATAGATGAAAACAATAGCTGTTTTATACTACTTTTTTTATGTATTGGATGTCTTGTAGCTTGAGCACTGTCATGGATCAGATCTTCCATTCCCTGTCAGTGAGTCCTGTAATTCAAAGAGACCACGCTGGATTGGTGAGTTGCGTGTGACTTTGTGGGTACTTGATTTGATATCTGTTTGGCTGCTTCTAATTTCTTAATAGTCTCTTAATTCAATTCTAGAAACAAGCTTGCCACCACTTTGCTCATCCCAGGAATACAAACTTGACAGATGAAGAGAGTGATTTAGGCTAGAAAATGGAAGTGAAATAGAGAACCAAATTAGTTTCTAGTCAGCTTCATTTACTCCTACAGGAAATTTTGTTGCTTAAAACAGTACACGTCAGTAAAATTTTAGATTTTTCAAAGACTTCCTTCTTTGTTTAAGATTTGTAATGGAGTTTCACTGAACTAGAGCTGTGACAAGATACTGATTTTGGGCAGTATGCCTTAACTTTAACTTATTACTTGGAAAAAGCAGTCTAAGTATAAGGCCTTATGTGTGTTACGTGAGCACAACTTGGTTTTCTGTAGCTTCTGTCGAGTGCAGCAAATCAGCTTTTTTTTGACATGCATTTGTGACTTAGACCAGGGAACTGTTCTAATAAATAGTTGTTGGAATGAATCTCCTTGCTAGTATTTATGTTGCTTGTGATAACGTCTGGAGTATTCATTTTCCCTAACTATTTTTTGGAGACTTTTTTGGGGTTGTTTTTTTTTGTTTATGTGCAATGGTTTTAGGGTTTGATTGTTTTGATTTTTTTAGAGCATATATTCCTCCATCCAGGAGAACCATGCCTCAAAAGGCTGAAAAAGAATTTCAAAGGAGATCGTGAATGTCATTAGCTCAGTTTCTTCGGTACAGAGGAGTGTTTGCCTGCAAATGGCAAATAGTTGATTATCATTCCCCTCATCTGCTGTTATCCAGAGAGAAGTGTTGCGGCAGATAAAAAAAGAAAAGGGCATTGCACTTTGTGAAAGTTGGAAACTTCTCATTTGATCACTTATGCATGTGTTCAGCATGGGAAGCCTTTTATGAAAGGAAAAACAGTATTTTGTTTGAATTTTTCTAGCAACATTTTGTCAGCCAAACTGTGAAAGGAATAACATACTGTGCAAAATGACAGCACAAGGCTCTAATTTTAGATGAGAATGGTGTTTTCATTCTGTAGACCCAAATTCACTAGGCCTTAGATAAGTCTAGCCCACATACAAGCCAAAAAACAAGTCACCAATTAAAATAATAAAAAAAAAATACCCTTACAGTATGTTTTTCCTGCTGTGTTTCATTTTGTCTCTGTAGTCCCTGATCTGACAAAATTTTTAGGGGTGAGAATAGTATAATACAGAAATATGCAGAAGAGAATATAGTTCAGAATTTGCAAGTTACTTCCTTAATGCAGAGACTTTGTGATTGAAATTTATTATTATTGATATGTTTACCTTACACAGGACCAATGGAAGTTTCCTTGGATAATGGAGATGGTCACTCAATTCCTCCAGTGAAATATTGCACTCCTGAATTTTATCGTGATCATCAGCACTTGGTAAGTCATTAACAGAGAAATTCTTAAGATGTGAAAGTTGTGAGGTGTTTGGTCTATCAGCTGAACACCTGCTACTTAAAATTTTTGAGTTGAAACGCTTCACTGGGATGCAGATCAGTGCTGTGCTATTTGTGTAACTGAAAGGTGTTACCAGTTGTGATCCATTTGATGTAGTTCTCATTTACAAGTGTCAAGAAATTGAAGTTCTGTAACTCTATACAAATTTCTGCCTCTATTTTTCATTCATGAAGAGCTTGGTGAAATGCCTTTTGTTCTGTTGCTCTGTGTAAGCTGTCAGTATTATTGCCTCAAATTTATCTGTCTGTGTCCTCATCTTCTGTATGATGACACACCCTGTAAATGACCATAGGGTCATTTCAATTAGTAATCACTAACAGACTTGGCTGTTTCAATTGCCAGCTCTACCTGAAAGAGTCCTTAGGCTTAAAGAACCAGGTCAGGATTCTGTGCTGGGTAGTACTAGGTAGAACATCCTGAATTTCTAATCTTCTGCTGCAGTGTTTGAAGTTATGTAGGTAGTCTAATCACTTTTTGTTTATTCTGTTTGTAAAGCATGGGTTGTGGTGGGGTGGGCTTAAGGAATAAAATTATTTTGTATAATGGGGTAAATACTTCATTAGGGTTACACAATGTGCTAACAACACTTCTGTCAGAAGCTCTTTGTATAGCAAAACAGTTTTTTTTCCTTTGTGTGTTTGTTTTTGTTTGGTTGTGTGGTCGTGGGTTTTTGGGGGTTTTTTTGAAACTGTCTATTGAGGTGACCTGATTAATAAGCTGTGCCAGTGTGAACTTGACTGGCTCCTTTTACATCTATGCCTGGATACACCTTATTTGATATTCTCCTTTGGTATTAAATTTTACTTCCAATTTACAGGAGTATTAGTAACTGAATTACTATTGATTTGTTGTTGTTAGATTGGTAGGGACAAAGGGGGAAGTTAGTTTGAAGATACTCCTCTTAAATTAGTTCTTTTCCTGTTAAGCTTTTTTGCCAGTCACATAATTTTCAAGATCAATGCCTGACAGTCTCTTGCTGTTACAATTGTACTCACATGCTATTTTACACCTCTGTCTGCTCCCAACAGCAATTAAGAAATACTAGCAATGTTATGAAGTGTTCTTCAGTACCATTGATGGGGATAGCGGAAATATGTGGGGCCCTGCAGGGGTGAGGGTGAGGAAAGGGGAAAAAAGTTAGCAAGAGCTAATTTGCAGTTTGAAATGAATAAACTGTGTTTCTTTTAAAATGAGAAATAAACCAGTCCAACAATAATAGTATCATAGGCTTATCAGTTGTGGAAGCTTGCAAATACAGGAATATGATATCAAGTTGGTATGTAGGGGTTGCTGTTCTACTCTAACACACTATTTCTTTGTGTAGTTTAAATTTATCTGTTTTAAATCTTCTTCTCAGGCATACAAGGTGGTATCAGAGCCCCGAGGCTTGGCACTTATTCTCAGCAATGTCAGCTTCAGCTGTGAGAAGGACTTGGAGTATCGCAAAGGGGGAGACGTGGACTGTGCTTCCCTGGAGATGCTTTTCAAGCACCTTGGGTATCGAGTGACTGTTCTTCCTAATCGAACTGCACAGGTAAGGAGGTGGATCCCAGTACTTCACAACTGGTATGAATGAGAGTTTGTAACTGTTACATAATCATCATGAGATGTTCCCTTTGGTGTGGAACTAAGCTTTGAACAGGAAGGTGTGAATTATCGCTTATGAATAGAATGGGATAATGTCTGCTCACATACTGATCAATATGAGGAAGCTTGGAAGGCAGAGCTCTTACGATGGAAAGCAGTATTACAAAGGACCATGAGAGGTACTACTGCAGTCTGACTCTAGTACAAGGTGCAAGAATTTCTAGACCACACCTTGCATGTGTTTTTAAAACACAAATGAATAAAGTGTACACTTGAGATAGACTTTTACAGTGTTCTGCTGCCCTAAAAATTAAACTTTGCAAATACTTGATGTAGTATTTGCAAGTGTGGTGTTTTCATGTCCTTTCATTGATGAAGTCAATTGTTGTCCTATTTATCAGTCTTCCAGTATCTGTGCAGTTAAGTTCCACTTTTTCCATCTTTGCTTTGCTAAAGAAGAGGCTGTGTTTCACTTAGGAAAGTTAGTAGTGTTCTGTGACTAACTTAATCAAGCCACTATCCCTGGGAATGGAACTGCTGCCTTTTCCAGCTTGTTCTTATTTCTTTTAAATCCCTGTGAACCCAGGTGGTACAAAACCTGTTAAAGAGTGTTTTACTCAAGAAAGCAGCTTTTACAACATTATAATAATACTTTTGCACCTACCATGTTGTCAGAGTTTGTAAAGTTTTTCAGTTTAAATTATTTATTGACCACTATTGACCTCTGAAGTCCCAGAGTATATATCTGTTAAGTTGCTCCAATATACCAGTCAGACTCAAGTGTCAGTGTAAAACCTTTGTAAAATACCAGTTAGTTTCTTCTGTGTTGAATCCACATGTACCAACTCAGGTACTTGCTGCATCCCCCTATTGGCCAAGTGATTCTTACTTCACAATGTCATACTTAGAACTGAATATTACATAAAAGAACAAGAACATTTTGCTGGGTTTGGGTGGGTTTTTTTAAATAAAACACATCTTTTTACTATAAACTTGTTCTATGTGGGTGGTGTTTTGTTTTTTTTTTTTGTAAGAGGAGGGACCGGTTCTGTTTTTCCATAAATATTGACTTGCATTCCCTGTGCAAGTCTGGAAAGGATTAAACGGGTTTTTTTATTCTGTTCCAGGAGATGCAGAATGCATTGGAGAGATTCTCCAAGCTGCCAGATCATCAGTACGTGGATTCCTGCGTTGTAGCTTTGCTTTCCCATGGTGTGGAGGGTGCGGTTTATGGTAGTGATGGCAAGCTACTACAGGTATATTGCTGTATCCCGATGTGGGGTTGTAGGTTGTCTCTAGGAAAGTACCAAGAAAGAGGGGGGAAAAGTTTTTAAAAAATGAAGTGATAGGAGACTGAGGATTCACATTTTTTTTTAAATGGAAAAAATAAGGGCTTGTGGGAAGAAAAGGGCAGGAGTCTGTGAGTGGTCTGGAAGATAAAGACTGGCGAGTAGGGGGAAATTATTTCATTCTCTCTTTCTGTACAAGTACTAGGTAGAGTGCAAGAACTCAAACTAGCAGTAGGTGGGGAAGGGGTGTGTTTGTCACATGCTGAGTTTGGAGATAAAGGAGAAAATACCAAGACTGATGAGGTAATAACCAAAATACAGGGAAGCAAGGTGAGGCTGGGTTTGGCTTATAGAAGGCTACAGTGAAGAATATTTATCTTCTTTCTTCTCTCAGTTGCAGGAGGTTTTCCGGCTCTTTGACAACGCAAACTGTCCAAATCTCCAGAATAAACCTAAAATGTTCTTTATTCAGGCCTGCCGGGGAGGTGAGTGCCCAAATGCTAAAAGTACTTGGCATGCCATTAAGGCTCGTTTTGCACACATGCACACCCTCACATTCAACTTGCTGTCATCTCTCCTGTTTGCTTCTCTCAGGTGTAAGTGGGACCCATATTCACCTCCCTCTGCCCTGCTGCTGCCACTGCATCTGTTGCTCTGTAAGTGTCTTTTGCTCTGCATGAGGTGTGTGCATTGACTTGCAGACCTCAGAGCACCTTAGTGACATAAAGCTCTGTCATACCCCACTCATACATTGAGGCTTTCTCATACTGTGCCTGCATTAAGGGGAGTGGGGCATACGGTGCACAAATTGCAGCACAGCATGGAGAGGTACACTGGCACTGGAGTCTTGTCTGAGATCGTGTCTTTCTCTTCATCCTCGATGTGTTGCGTCTCTTGTGATTGTCTCTTGAGCTGTCAAAGTTGGTTCCAAGTATTTTTGGGGGGGTGTCTTTTTTTACTTTACCCTAGCCTGTTTTCAACCTCAAAATGGCCATTCTTTCTACCCTATTCCTCATACTGTTAGAGAATTCTTATGTGCTAATGTACAGAACTATTTCCTTGATTCTCATACACCTGTTCTTTTTCTATGCTTTGTGGTTTTTGTCTTTTTTTTTTTTTAATTCTGCTATTCCTTTTCCTTCTTTTTGTAACTAAACACATATCTGTAACTAACCACCTTTTAGATCTGCTAATGACGGAATTTTTCCATCAAGTGTTTGCACTTTCTGAGATCGCTGTGAAATTGCAGATACTCCAAAGTGAAGTTCTGTCTTATGGTTTTGTTTTTTCCCCTTATGATAGAGATTCTAGTGTATATGCTCTTTCCCCTGCTTTTCCCTTGTTCCTTGCAATTGTCCTTTTCTTTTTATTTTTCTCAAGCTTTATAGTTTGTCCTCTAGCCGAGAGGATAGTTCATTCACCTGTTATCTAACCTTGTTTAATCCCAATGCAGGGAAAAACCTAAAGTCTACGTGAAGTATTTTGGCAATCAGAAACATTCCAATCCCTCTGAGTATTTGGAAATATTGTAACATGCATGTTTACAATATGTAATGAATGTGATTGCTTTCCTTATGTTATTGAACGTTTAGATACTCTTGAGCAAATGTGAATGCGCAGACTCAGTGTGGAAATAAATGTAATGAAATAATTGGTAATTAGGTTTATTTGACTGTAATGTTACCATAACAAGTCTGTTAAGACTAACAAATCAAGCTTGGCCTTTTTATTCCCAAAAAAGTTGCAGTTAAGAAAGAGTAGTAAAGTTTCCTATGCACAATACTTTAGAACTGGGATACTCTGAAAGACAAAGGACTGAGACTTGAACAACTGAAAGGGAAAACTCTTTCCTCGATTAAAAAAAAAAGGCAAAACCCTGCCCTTTCTAACCTCTTTTAAACCTTGATTAATAGTTGGAGGGGAAAATCAGTTACAAAGTAATTAATTGTCAACAAAAATGTGTACCCTTTCATGTTAGCATTCAAAGGTTAGACTAGCCAATACAATTTTTTTTCAAAAACAGCATTTAAAAGACTGTATAAATAGTATGGAAACTTTAGAATAGTAGTAAATCTATCAATGATGTACAAGTTAGCTGGAGCTATTTGAAACAAAATGAGAAATACACAGGTTATTCTTCTTCCCTAATGTTATGTAGTAAGCCTGCTCTGTGTTCTATTAATGGCACATTAAAAAATGTAGCTAAAGAAGATTCAGTAAAGTGTTAATTTCCAAAGAGCCTTTGGCAGGAGTCTACTAAAGAACTGAAGTAGTCCACTTACAGTCATGGATCAAAAACCAGTGGCTACAGAAAACAATGGGAAAAGTTTCAGTATGACATAATGTAACTCTGAAGCTGCTTTATATCTGTGTTTAGTGTAGTAGTTGATCCAGAAGAGTAAAGAACTGTGCTAAGTAATGATAGATGGGTAGTTAGCAGTTATTTAAATCAGTTGGTGAAATACCTATCTGGCAGCTTCAGTAAAATGTGAACAGACTAGATCAATCTGTGTGGCTGTTATTGCTGATATAAATTAGAGGTTAAGTGTGCAGAGTGTTTTACAGGTTTTAGTTATGTTGGTAAGTTGACTTGAGCGGTGTTTGAAGACAAATGCACAAGGAAGATGTGTAATTCTGAAGCTTTAATCAAAAAAGTTTTGACTTTTTACATAGTGGGATGATGGCAGTGTGAATAATATAGCTTGACTGTAAAATTACCTGAGTCTTATCTGAAATAACAAACACCGTAAACAGTACACTGAATTTTTAAGAAGATAGAGAACTGAAGGGATTTGGAAAACTGTGATAAAAGACATGAAAAAAGTGTGGTTAAAAATGGAAAAATTTGCATTGCTACCTTAAAGAGATGAGGAAGAAACTTAATGGAAGTCATTTGAGCTATGGAGCATTATTCTAGGCTGTATCTAACCTGTCAGACAATCACAGCCCTCCCACTGCTGCTTTCACTTTAGAGGAAAAGAACAATGTTGCTGACTTATGAACTGACCATTTCCTGTGCATAATTATGAGATACCACTAGTGCCACTGCCTGTAAAAGGGTTAGAAGTCCAAATGTACTTTGAAGGTTTGAGCTGGCATCAAAAACTAAGAACCATCTAACAGGAAGGCCTTTGAAGTGGACACTTTCATCTCCTAAGACTAGTCTGACCCATGCTGTTAGGAAGAAAGTAGAATAATAGATTCTCATCTTAAAAGTAAAGGGGGGGAGAAGGCAAAATTATATAAAAATGTAGCTTTAATTTTCTTACAACATATCTGAACTATCAAAGTTATCACCACCTAGATTATAATGGAAACTCTGCATCATGTAAAAGAACCAATTAAGAATATCTATACTTTTATAGTACATACTAATAAATCTTAGAAAAGGCATTAAATACTCTCTTAAGATTTTAAACTAATCTCCGTGTACTGGAGTTCTCATATTTGGGCTCAGATTATTTTGCATTTTTCTGCTGCACAATTTATGCTTTTGATTAATACAAGCAGTATTGCAGTCAGGTTTTAGAACTAGGTGAGATACTTGGTCCATATTTTCTATATAGCTTGGAGGTAGACCTGAGCAACTAGAATTATAGCACTTGTTTGAGTTCTGCAGTAAATAGGTCTTTAGCAGTGCAAACTGCACTAGACCTTTTTGGATATTTTTCAGGTAGGTACAAGTGGAAAATCACAACTTTATGGCTAGGCATCAAATCCTTCCATGCATGGTGGAGAACTGTCAGAAACTTCTCTTCTTTCATGGTTATCCCATGAACTGCATAGGAAGAGGGAGGAGCAGACATCAGCATGCAGACCAAGTCAGGTTAAGCTGAGCAGTTGTTGTTGTCTGCATTAGTTTGTGCAGAAGGACTTTCAGATGAGTTTTTAAAACAGCTGAAGAAACTTAAAGTTCATGCAAAAGCTTTCTGCTTGGCAGCGGTTGTGGCATTGCTGACCAGAGCCCAAAAGTAAGGAAGTACAGGAAAACTACACCCAGTAATTCTGGATAATTTCCCCCCCCCCCGCCCCTCCTTGTTTACTGCCACCACAGATAAGTTCGACCAGGGAGTGGATCAAAGAGATGGGAAGGAACGGTCAGATTCCTCAGGCTGTGAGGAAAGTGATGCAAACAAGGAAGAAAGTCTCAAGCTGCGTCTGCCTACATGCTCGGATATGATCTGTGGATATGCTTGTCTGAAAGGTACTGGGTAGAGGCCCTAATTGTTTGTGCATAAAGAGGTTTTATGTGTCTGTGTTCCCCAAAAACTTCATCATAGACGCTTTCCTTTCAGGCACTGTGGCCATTCGAAACACCAAGCACGGATCCTGGTATATCGAAGCTCTCACCTCTGTGTTTGCAGAGGACTCCCGAGACACTCACGTGGCTGACATGTTGGTGAAGGTAAGCAGGAGTGTGTTCACCCTCCCACTTTTACCTGGTTTTTGAAGAGCCTTTCGGTGCTTCAAAATGGTAGGATTAGTCTACTGTTAAAGCAAGTGTTCTTGCCTTGTTTGTAGCAAAATTACTATTTGTTTCCCAGTTCATATTTATTTATTTATGTGCAGTTCCATAGCAGTTTAACCAAAGTAAAAATGCAGTTTCTTGCACTGCTTTTGTTTCACTTGTGTGGTCACATGATGAACTTGCAAGAAGAATTAATCTTTCTTGCCAGGAATTACTTTTCTTCTATAGAAATAACTTTCTTTTTCAGGTGAATTCATTCCCTGAACAGGCACACCACATAGCTGTAAAAGCTCTAGTACTCACATAAGGTAAAGATTGAGAAAATCGGGGAAGAAGGAGTGAAGAAAGCAGTGTGATCACGGCAACTTGAGCTGCTGTGGAACTGCACCCTAGTTCTTTCTCCTTACGGTTTAGAAAGGCAATACAAAGAGGACTACTTAATATGTTAAACAGAAAACAATGACATTTTTCTTCCATCTTAATCCTTCCAGTCATTTTATTTTTTTTTATTTTTTTTAATATCACATCTAGGTGAATAGGCAAATCAAGCAACGAGAGGCTTATGCCCCAGACACAGAATTTCACCGCTGCAAGGAAATGTCAGAATATTCTAGCACACTCTGTCGGGATCTTTACCTGTTTCCTGGCTATCTACCAGGAAAATAACCTTCTGTATTTGAAGAGGGATACTGCCAAACCTGAACTTTGACTATGGATGTCTGCGTTTTTATTCTTATTGACTGTGACAACATCAGATGTGCAAGCAAGGAATGCTTCTTCATCTGGCCAGTCCAATTCTTGCTTGATGTGTTTTTCTAAAATATTCTGGCAACTCTCTTTGTAATCTGATTCAGTTCAGGGTTTAAAATTCTAATATCCTGATTTGCTTTGTATGTATAGAAATTGATGGAAAGAGGATCAGCACTAGAATTTGGAAGACATGGGAACATCCTTTGGAAGGAGATGTGAGGACATTTGTAAACAAAGTGAAAGTGAAAATGGACTATTAGTACAACTTTAAAAAAAGTTAAGCCTTTCTGAAAGGAAAATTAGTCATAAAATGCTACTTATCTTATGCTTGTATTTTAAAAATTTTAAATACTTTCTGTGTGGTTCTTCATACAGGACAGTTTACTACTGTGTATATTAGAAAAAGAGCTCCCTTGTAAAGGAGAATCCTCCCCCTCTTTAAAATGAAAGGTTATGTTCTCAGTATTCAGCACTTTCCTACCCATTGTGATCACTTAAAAGTCTATTTTTCTACATTCTTTCTATAGTGAAGTTATCAAGAGAGTTACAAGACATCCCAGATTATCAGCAAAACAAATAGAAACCTAGACAAGTCTGCAGAAACTGCCCCAGAAATAGGTTTAAATCTATAAATTGTAGATTAGTTCCCCATAGTCACAAGAATGAACAATTGCATGGAATATTATTTTTCAGGAATTTGTTTGCCATACTGACAGCATTCAGTCCACCAACTTCTCAGGAGTCTATAAATTGTACTGTACAACTGAAGCCCTGAAACCCTACAGCCTTGAACAAAAGGATCGCTTGTTTTTTTTTTAATTAACAAAAATATTCAAGGCAGCTCTTTACAGTCTAAGTATGTTACTTAGATTATTTATCACTGGAGTTTGTTTCCTTTTAAATGAAAGGGAAGAGTTTCACATTATTACCCTATTATGAGTTTAATTTCTTCAACCATGGTCATTGGAAAGCATAATCTACCACTTCTTTTGAAAATTTCCTTCACAGTCTCTTCAAGCTGTAACTTGTCTCTTGCTGTGTCCAATTGCAGTTACTCCCATTTGATGTGATGTGGGAGATGGGCATTTTTCTGGTTTTGTGGTAGAGCCTGAATCCTGGGATACTGGATTACATATGGACTACAGGCTGTTCACTTGAGTCTCAGTCTTCTTCATTTTGTAGTAGTAAGCTAGCATAGTTCCTGGCTTACTCCTTTTCTAATGTAAGTATGACTTTTAAAATATTTTTTTTTTTCAGGATAGAATTATGAATAGGAAGCACAAAGGGATATGAAGGGAGGCTGGAAAACTAGACATATGCTTTTTTATTCTTCTGCCTAGGAAAATGAAGGCTGAGTTTCCTCCAGTTGACAAAGGTGCATCATTAACATTTATCTTGCATTTGTCTTACACACAATGTGATAAACGGAACAAGAATCATACTTGCCAATTGGTGCCTTACTCTGAAGTTTAAAGGCTGTTGTACCTTCCTGGAGTACAAACAGTCTTCCTGAGTGCTCCCTCTATGAAATGGTGCAATATTTTACAGATAGGTATATTGATGAAGAGTCCACTCTGATGGATTAAATTTCTGTAGGATTGCATCAAGTTGTATTGTCACTGCCACTTTTGTATGTTCTTTTTGTATACTTGTATTTTACTGCCTTGAAGCATTAAAATAAAGAATTCTTGTTTGATTAATCTGTGCAGTATCTTCCATTTGGAGAGTCAGACCTCTGTGTAGAAGTGGAGGTTCTATATAAAAACAATTTCACGTAATTTCTTGAGATAGTACATCCCAGAGGCACTTTTGAACTCTTAGGCCTGCTACTTGCTAGCTGCAACCAGTGTGAGTTGCTTTGAAATTTTGATAACACCTGAGCTAAACAAAGGCTAATACATTAATAAAGACATATGAGGCAGAACCACCAGGTAGGAGGTTGATGATGTGCTTCAGCACATCAGAAAACTTTGGGCCTGGTGTTCTTGCCAAAATGAATGGCTCCTGAAAAAAAGGAGTCTTGGAAAGAGGAAGAGCCCAAACAGAAGGTGAAAATACCAGCTGGAGGAAAACTCCTGGAAGTGGAATATCCAAGGAATCAGAGAACTGCATGAGAACAAATGCCAGGGGATGCCCAGAGGCCTTGATGTGTTATGCCAAAGACTTGTAACTTGGGGCAGCTGTACAGCACAGAACCAACAGAACTTTCTGTTCCACCTTCACAAACAAGCAATGAAAGCCAATGAGTATGAAATAAGAAGGTAAAAGCTCTGTTTTCATTAGTTCTAAAATAATCCCCAGTATCCAGACCCACTAGAGGTTGCCATTTACCTTGTCATTTGTTACACCTAGAAGAGTCCGAGTTCTGTTTTTAGTGAAGGAGTACATTGGTTTTGTTAATACTACTGAATTCTGATACAGGAAATCTAGTAGTAATATTAGCACTGGAATTACCAACATCTAGTTGTGGAGAAAGTGTAGTCCAGAAGTCGTAGTAAACAAGATGTTTGTATTTTCACAGAAGTAAGTTTTGAGCTACTAGTATAGTATAAGGAATTAGTTTTAATAGTTGGGATAGCTGACAAATGTTAACAGCTGCACGTTTTGTCTTGAAACCTAAAGAATAAGGTCAAAGATTTTGTTTTATGGGATGGGGAGTGAAAACAGTGAATCCAATGATGACAAAGTATTTTAAAAATCTTAAATTGTATGAAAATATTTATTAATTATTTATAAATTGTACATTTATTTAAAATTCAGTATAATCAATGAAATTGTAGTTCTAAACTGTTTTTGTTTCCATATTTACCATTATTAAAAGTAATAGGTACTCAAAGGATCCGACTTTATAAAAATAGTCATTGGTACCCTTAAAAATTAGGATGTACAGAATGGTACTGAAAGAGGGCATGCTTTCCAAAACATGAAAAGATTTGAGTAACATCTTATAAATGAAATTTATGCAAAGCTGAGGCTCCTAACATACACAGTACCTGTGTTGTGCCAAGTATTCTTACCCTTCAGGGTATGAGAATTCTTCACTACATCACAACACTAAATTATTAAGTTAGGAGAAGGAAATGCAAGAAAAGATACTGTTATGTAATAGATGGTGTCATCAGCATATGCATACAGAAAACAGTTTCTTTAAAAGGAAGGGAATGAAACAAGGATCTCCAGAGAAGTTACAACCAATCATTGTCACAGGATCAGCAGCCTTGGTGAGTCTGTTTACCTAAGAGTGAGCTATGTCCTACTCAGTGCAATTTGGCCTGGTGTTGCTGCTTTTGCCAGTCCTACACACAGAATTCTCTCTTGTGAAGGTATTCTTCTGTTTCCATTCATCTGCATTTGGTACCTTGGTTTATGGTAAGTATTATGTATAACTTGGTCTTTAGTCTGTGTTTTTGCATAAACTGTTCCACCTGCATGCACAAATTCTTAAGATGACATCTGTGTAATTCATTACCTCTTTGAAAGAGCTCACAGTTGGACTCATTTCTCTAACTTAGAAATATAACTGTAATTGCTATGGTTCAGGCCATTTTTTTTTTTAATTTTAATTTTCTTTGTCACTCCTAAAGGTTTTGATTTGCAGCCGCAAAATAAAGATGAACAGTTACACCTCCCATAGAAATCATGTTTTGACAAAGGTAAGCATCATGCTGTATTAAGAAAATACTTAGATTTGAATTTGTTATGCTCAGTTTGTAAAGAAAAAACACAAACTAGCTAGCTGTTAGTCACTTGTAAAGTGACTTAGGGTGAGAAGAAAAGGTCGCACTGAGCACAGGCTTAAATTTTCTAAATCAATTTACACAGAAAAAGCAGTTAAGGAATGTTACAAACTGCCACTGCCTCTTGCATCTCTGGCTTGGGTATTCCTCCTGCCCAACCCAGAAACCCTGGGCTTCATGCCCCAGCAGGTGCATTCAGGACATGTCCTGGTCCCATCCTGGAGGCTGGAGCATACACTTGTGCACTCCTGTTGCTAAGACCACAGGCCTGGGCTGCCTACAGCCCTGGTCTGACCCAGTTAGTAGTGCCAGGTCTCCTCACACAGGTCTGACCTGTAGCTAACACTCTGGGCACCCCTTGAGATGATCCAGAGAGCTATGGCCGCTCCAGCTGCTGATGCTGAGACCCCACTTGCTTCAGCTCCTGTCCCCAGAACTCCAACACCTCTGGTCTGACTGCTGTTGCTGACCCCAAATTCACTCATGCCAGTCTTGCCAGCTGCTGACGTCTCAAACTTACAGCATCATATGCATGGGATAATGAGATTTCATGGAAAGATAATGAAGAAGGCATTTGATAAGAAGATAGGACAGACATTGACCAGCTTTGGTTTTCACAAAACCTGTCCCTTTCCATCTGTTCCCCTTTTTGTTCCTCCCCAAGCCTTTTCCTTAGCAAGTTTTGCACAGTCCCGCAGACTTAGTTCAAATCCTTATGTTCCTCTTGTTTCCCTCTTCATAATAGTTAAAAAGTCCAGGCTGGACCTGTCCAAAACTGTGGCTGTAGTTTTCTTAATGGCCTGTCAAATAGTGACTAGATATTTGGTCTTTTGCATGATTTCTGTCTTCTCTCTGTCTCTGAGTTCTGGGTCTCTGTGGTGTTAGTTGTGGCTTCCCAACTTTTGCACTGAAAAAGTCCTTGACTGAATAACCTTAATAAAGGAGATGCTTTCACCTTTCACATAACCTTACATAACCCATCTTTATTTAGTGGGAACAGCAGCTTAGGAAGTCATGACGTTGCTCTAAGTAACTGCTTTGCCTAGATATAGAATTTATCATTTTCCCTGAATGAAAAGCTTTACAGATAGCAGATAAAAAAAATGAGCAGTTGTCTGTGAAAAGATCTGTGGCCTATATTATCTGCTTCATTCCCCACACACTTCTGTGCTTGCTGCTGCCTCAGGGTACAGCAGACAGTAGCACTGACTCAGCTGAGGATGTAGCTGTTGCTACAGCTGCTCAGTGCTGTTTTTCAAGGCAGAAACACACAGCAGCACCCTGATTTTGTGCTTTATATACTGTTAGTTCCTCCTTGCTTTTCTTGTGGCAAAGACCCCAAAAGCACAGCAGGGCAGGAGACAGGACCTCCCTACTTTGCAACCCTGCAGATGTCCCAGGATCCTCAAGAGCCCACAAACCCTGACTGTGCTGTTGAGCAACTTTGACTGGATTTAGGTACACCAAAATTTGGTTAAGCATAGATTTTTCTGTTGTCTTCTATATTCCCATGTCATTTCTAGTCAGAGATTAAGAAAAAAACCCACCAACTTTAACACAAGAATAAAAACATGTCTTTACATGAGGATGCCTGAGCACTGGAGGACGTTGCACAGAGAGTTGCGGAGTCTCCATCCTTAGAGATACTCAAAAGCTGTCTGGACGTGGCTCTGAGCAACTGGCTCCAGGGGTGCTGGTTGAGCAGGGAGGTTGGGCCTGATGACTTCCAGAGCTCCCTTCCAGCATCAACCATTCTGTGATTCTGGATGAAAAAGACACTGAGTGTTGTTTATGCCCATGGATGAAGGTACTAAGACTGTGAGGAAGGCTGCTTATTCATGGGGAGGTAATGAGCAATAATGGATGTGCTTTAAGAAAAATTACGTTAAATGTGAAGACAGCTTGTAGTTTATATGAAGAATATTCTTCCACAGCCAGCTAGGAATACTTCCCCTCTCAGATGCTGAC